ATCCATTTGCCTGCAAACTTCAAGAAGTCCTTGTTTTTTACTGCTGAGTAGTACTCTAATATGTATATATTCCATACTTTCTTCATCCATTCTTCAATTGAAGGGCATCTAGGTTGTTTCCAGGTTCTGGCTATTACAAACAATGCTGCTATAAACATAGTTTTTATTTTCTGTAAATGGATTTTTCCTTGCATGTTTGACTGTGAAACATGTGAATACAGTACTCGTGGAGGTCAGAAGAGGGCATTAAATCCCCAAGAACTGGAGTTACAAACAGTTGTGTCTCTGGCTAGTGTTTTTAACTGCTGACCCTTGGCCCCAGCCCCTGAAAATAATTTTTTAAAGAGCAAAATTATGCTAACAGCTCACTGTCTTCTCTTTCAGGCTTTTACAATGAACCTGTCCTCTCCGCAGACCAAAGCCGTGTGCTGATAGCAGGAGAAAGCATTTCCCTCCAGTGCAGTTCAGCACACGACCTGTTCAGCAGATTTTCACTGGTCAAGGAGGGAGATGCTTCTTTGCCGCAGCACCAACATGAAGGCAAATTCACTCTTGGTCCCGTGAACCCTAACTTCGCCGGAAATTACAGGTGCTACGGCTGGCACAACAGCAGTCCCTAAGTGTGGTCAGCCCCTAGCAATGCCCTGGAGCTCATTGTCACAGGTAGAGGCATCACATCCCAGTTCTTTGTTCTCCACCATCCTGGTGTCTAGGCGGGAGTGGGAAGAGATGCTCTGAGATCCATGAGCGTGGCAGTAGACTCACTCTCCTGAGGCGCATGAAGAGAAAGGGGCTTCTCACTTACTCCACACTCATCTTTCATACATTTTCTGAAGTCTTCAAGCGTACCCTTCAGAAACCTATGATATATTTCTCAGGGTGTTTGGGGGGGCGGGGTGCATGCACAGTGCTGGCAGGGACCAGAGAGTATGACAGATTCCCTGGAGCAGAATTTACAGATGATTCTGAATCACCCATTGTGGATGCTAGAAGCTAAACTCAGGACCTCCGCAAGTGCAGCGAATGGTTCTAACCACTGCATCCTCCCTTCAGCCTCCTAGTTTATCGATAAAGGAAAGGTCCGCATTCAGAATCACTTATGAGGGATCAGTGTTGAGACAGAAGATCCAAACACAGTATAGTCTGGTGCATCTTTTTTCATTTGCCATAATTTTTCATTACAGAATCCACTGGGAGTGGTTGAATGTAAAGACTGAATTGTGGGACTCATTTTTTATGTGGTTTGCATATACCATTGTGCTTGAAGGAAGGAGATAAAGGTCAGACTTCAAGCAGGAAACCAGTTGCTGGTAGCTGAGTGGGCTGACCACAATCCATATCTCATGCCCATCTTCTGAATAAGGTGTCATCACCCCAGTCATGCAATAAGCTCTGCAGCGTGGTAACTGTGCATCGCACTGCTGCAAAGCTGGGTAGATCTTTCCGATTAGTGGCATGAAGACAACTGAATTTCCATGCAGAAGAATCAAAGTACAATTAAACAAGAACACATTTCTGATGCATTGGAGGCCTAGCAGCAAAATATATCCTGTGGGAGACCACAGAAGAGAATTACCTTGACCGTGACATAGAAGATGGTTTCTAAAACAAAATGCAGGACCTGCCTGCTCTATAGCAAAGGACTAATGAACTCAACCCAACTAAATCCTAAAATGCATGTTCATGATAATAATAAAAAGAGACAAATACATTTCGCGTAATTGACTAGGTAATAGAATCACCATGGTTTTCTGAGATAGAGTCTCACAAACTCATGCATGCTAGACAAACCCTATTTTACCAGGAAAATGGTACCGAACATTTAATTTTTCTAAACACTGTAGGCTCACATATTACATTTCAGCCAATGGAAGAGGAAACAGGTTAACAATGATAAAGATTGTCTAATACATTAAAAATAAAAATACGTTATTCACTGAGCATCATTGTCTATAAAATGTCACACAATAATTGGTGATGAGAAGTTGGAATGAAGCTGAGCAACAGATCACCTGCCTATCATACATACAGCAATTGGCTCCATCCTTATACATGGGTTATTTTTAAGTAGAGATGAGTTTTAGCTAAATTTATCTTAAATTTTACCATATATATCCAAGACAGCGGTGGTCGAGTGTCTATTTTGCCACATTTGAGAGTAATATAAATTGTCATGTAGAGTGACAAAAGTATGAAGAAAAAATTTAGAGCTCCTGACACAGGACAGTGTTGAAAAAAACAGTTGGGTGGGCAATGAAACCGTTAAGAGAGGTGAGAAAGACAAAGTACAAACTCCCCATAATCACTTCCTTTTCTAGGAACCACGGTTTCACACCCTTGGCCTCCCTCTATCTTACATACCCTAGAAGTGTGGTGCCTGAGAATAAATGAGCTCATTAAAAAGGATTAGGATAGAATGGATCATGGCCAACAATTACCTGTTTCTTTCCCTTATGTCTCTAGACTCCAAGAAGCAAGGTTACATGATGGAGAATTCAGTCCGGATGAGTATGGCAGGGCTGGTGCTTGTGGTCCTCTTGGTGATACTAGCTGAAGACTGGAACAGCCACAGGATATCACAAAGAAGACTGTCAGGAATTGACTGCACCAAGACGGAGCAGACAGTGACTGTGGGTGGGGATGGGAGCTATAGGTGGGGAGGCTTCTTGCAAAACGGAAAAGCAATTAGAGGCTCAGATCCATTTGCAGAATGCAAGGCATGTGTAAAGTATCCACCACCCATGTGTTTGAACACTGGCTCCCCAGCAGATGGTACTGTTTATGAGGATGTGTAAACTTTAAGATGTGCTATAAGTAGGTCACTGGGGCTACTATTTAAATGTTATACTCACTTCAGGTTCCCACCTAGCTCTCTGCCACTGTATACTCCTGTGGAGCTGCTCCTATTTCATGCTTTCCTGCCACAATAGAATACTCCCTCTGAAAACATGAGCCAGAATTAGCCTTGCCTTCCTTTCTTTCAAGACAAAAATAAATTAAGTAGTACACAGAGTTATCACGCGGTGTGGTCCTAGGTGGATCTGATGCTATTTCTTTTCTCCTGGTTAGTATTCAGGTTAGTTATAAATACATTTTTCTTTTATTTGTGAGATTATAATATAACTACATCCCTTGGTTAGGTCTTTTTGTTTTTCAACTCAACACAAGTGAGGGTCATGTGGGAAGAGGAGACCTCAACTGAGAAAATGTCTCAATCAGATTGCCCTGTAGGCAATTCTGTGAAATATTTTCTTGATTAACATTTGTCATGAGAGGGTCCAGCTCACTGTGGGTGGTGCCACCTTGGACAGGTGGTTCTGAGTTTTATGAAAAGCAAACTGAGAACGGCATAAACAGAAAGCCAGTGCACTGTACTCTTCCATGACCTCCGTTTCAGTTCCCGCCTCTGTTTCATCCCTTGAGTTCCTACAGTGACTTTTCATGATAACAGACTGTAACCTGTAAGCCAAATAAATTTTTCCTTCCAAAGTTTCTTTGGTCATGGTGTTTTACCACAGCTGTAGAAAACAAGCTAAGAACATTGATTATAATTATAATTTCCATCATTTTACAACCTTTTTATGTTCCTCCTTTTGTGGTACAGGGGATTTAACTGAAGTTCTCATGCATACTAAATGAGTTTTCTACAATTGCCTTACATCCCAGCCCTCTTTTCATTTTAAGACAAGTTTTCATAGAGTTGTCCAGGCTGGCCTTGAACTCACCTTGTGGCACAGACTGACCTCAAGCTTGTGGTCCACTGTGAGAATGTTTTTTGAGAAATGCTATTTAAAGTTTGCCTTTACAAATTAAACTTCCATCTAATTCATAATCAAGTCAATAATGTGCTTTGAGATCCTTATAGCTATGTACTAATTCTTCTGAAAAAATATAGGCTCAGCCTATTTGAAATTAGCTGAACTCTGAGATAACCTTGCAGTCAAACTTATTGTTCTTTGGACTTCCAACATAACTTCTCCAAGCTCGGCAGAATACACAGGCTCAATTGTACCACATTCCCCATTTCACTTCATGATACATTCACGCCCTGAATTTTGTTTGTGTGTGTGTGTGTGTGTGTGTGTGTGTGTGAGAGAGAGAGAGAGAGAGAGAGAGAGAGAGAGAGAGAGAGAGAGAGAGAGAGAGAGAGAGAGAGAGAGAGAGAGAGAGGAGATATGGTGATTAGATCTAAGACTGTGTGCTGACAGAGACAGCTGATCCAAGCTCACGGGAGCTCATGGATGCTAGACCAACAGTCAGGGAGCCTGTATGAGACCGGTGTAGGTCCCCTGCATGTGTGTGACAATCATGTAGACTTCTAACAGTGAGAGAAGGACCTTTCCATGGCACTTAGCTTGTTTTTGGTAGCTTTGGGTAACCTGTTCTCCATGCTGGATTACCTGGCTTGATCCTGCCTCAACTTGCTTTGGGAAATCCCATGGAAGGCCTGTCCCTTTCTGAATGGAGATGGAGGAGGGATGAATGGGGAGGGGGTAAATAGGAGAGGGGATAGGACAGGAGGAGAGCAAGGAGGGGAAACTGATTAGTATTCAAAATAAATGAAAAATGTTAGTTAAATAAAATAATTAAAAAGACTATGTGCCAGAATCATCAAGGGGTTGAAAGCAATAACCCACATGCAAAATATGTTGGAAGCAACATTTGTGTATAGAATGATGATATGTGATTATGGCTTTGCATGCTGTTCTGAGTAAGTAGGGCCAGGAGCACAATTTTCTACCTCGCAGACTCCTGTAAATTAGGAAAACAGGTCCTCTTTCCTTTTTGCAGCTCTATTTGCTGTGCCATTTGATACATAGAGAGCAGGGCCTTTATTCACACTGCTTCTTAGATTAAACCATTCGCTTTTATAGTAGACATGTTTTAGATTAGACAAATACTAGAACAGGAAAGACCAAAACTCTTCTGAATATATCTGGCCCATGCCTGAGTACCCGAAACCAAGAGTCTTTCTTCTTCTATGCGGCATCGTCACAATCTTCCTGCCTCAGCCTCTTGAGTAGCTAGGATGACAGGTCTGCTCCAGCAGGCTCGAACCTCTTTTTCTGCTCAGATTTTCTTCTTTATTCTTTATGGTTTTTTATAGTCTCATTTTTATTGTTCAAGAATTCCATGTGTGAATATATTTTGATGAAATCCACTCCCATCTCCTCCCCTTCTATTTACTCCCTATCCACACCACCACTCCCACCCTTACTTCATATACTGCATTTTAAAACTCACTGAGCCTAGTTAGTACTGCCAGTATGTGCATGGCTATAGGGCCATACGCTGGAACATGGGCAGCCTCTCAATGACTGTACCCTAGGGGAAAAAAGTGGCCCCCTCTTCCAGCACCTGTCAGTTACCAAAATAGTTCCTCAACTAGGGGTGGAACTTTGTGACCCCATTCCCCATCTACACTGGGATTTGGATTTTTTAAATGTGTATCCACCAATTATATAAAAAAAACTAGTAGGCTTGCTGTGATAGCAAGTCCCCTGCTTTGACCTTAAGGTATTGGTTTTGTCTAAATGTAAATTACATGAATAAACACACGAGCAAATGAAGGTCACAATCCTATTTGGGAAATATGAAATCGTATTAAATGACAACTTTATTTGGGGCACAGAGTTTACATTTACAATTTTAAAAGATGATACAATTTTGTCTTTTAACAGTACTAATGTATTTCACACTATTGAACCAGTAATTGTATATCTCAAAAAGTTCAAAGAAATAAACCAGACTCAAAAACACTAGCAACATGCATTTTTTATTGTATATGTAATTTGGGGTGGAAGAAGGATATAAAAGTATAATGGGGATCATTAGAGATGTGGAAGGAGAAAATGGGAAAGGTGACAAAAAGTAATGGAGAGGATGGGTATCTGTAGAACCACAGAGTGGTGTGAGCATGTATGGAAATGCCAAACCGAAAGCAATTAATACATACCAGTAAAACTGGAGAAAATCTCCAAGAAATTAATTGAAAACTTATACCATTAAAGAAGTCATGGGACTGGAAAGATGGCTCAGCTATTAAAAGCTAGACTCACAACCAAAAGCAAAAAATTTTGAGTTCGAGAAAATAGGATGTGAATTCCTGCCTTGATGCTCCAGTAGTGATGGACTTTAATGTGGAACTGTTATCCAAAAATACATACATACATACATACATACATACATACATACATACATACATTTCTCCCCTGGTATTCCTTGCCAGAGTAACTTACCACAGCAATGAAAGTGACACTAGGCAGTGATTAAAAGACAAAACTCAAGAATCCGCCAGATGATAAGAATGTTGTCAAAAAAACATCAAATGTCTAGTTAATCTGTAAAATCAAATTATAGCAGAAAATCTCCCAAGTCTAGAGAAAGACCTAGACATCCAAACACAAGTGTTGTCTTGAACTCCAAGTAGACATGATCAGAGTAGAATTCTGTATGATATAATACAGTCAAGATATCAAAAATACGAAACAGGGCTGGAGAGATGGCTCAGTGGTTAAGTGCACTGCTTCCTCTTCCAGAGGTCCTGATTTCAATTCCCAGCAACCGCATGGTGGCTCACAACCATCTGTAATGAGATCTGGTGCCCTCTTCTGGCCTGCAGGCATACATGCAGACAGAATGAGAATACTGTATACATAATAAATAAATCTTAAAAAAAAATACAAAACAAAGAAAGAACATTTAAAGCCATAAGGGGAAGACATCAACTCACTTATAAAGGCACATAAATCAGAATAATGTCAGCTCTCCAAGCAACCTAAAAGGTATAAAAATGTGGGATGATATATTTCAAGACTTGAAAGCAATTAACTCAACTAGTGCTGCTATTTCCAGGAAAGTTGTGCTGTGAAGTTGGCAAGGAAGTAAGGACATTTCAAGATAAATACAAACTAAGCCTGGTCATGACCTCCAAAGAAGATAACGAAATTAATATAATGTACACAGGAGGAAGGTCTCCTGGTAAGTGCCTCCTCAATGGCAAGACTGTAAATAACCAGCTAGGTCCTCTAGAAACCTGGGGAATTTAGTACATGGGTGGAAAGAGGTCCATCTGGCCAGATAAAGGCTACCACATGAAGAGGAAATGACTTGGGTTGTTGTCCTCATCAATATGGACAAGTTCAACAGAAACACCTGGGCTAATTCCCAGAATCTAACGGTGCCCTGGTACCTCCAAGCCCTAAGCGCAGGACAGATGATGCTTCTCTCTTAAAGCTGAAAGCAGGGAGGGGACCTGATAGAAATGGACAAGAAAGGCACTTCCTTATGATGAAAAGAGTTACCACAACAGGGGCCTGGAATGTGAACACTAAACAGAGCTGTGAGAACCAGCTTGCTCGGGCTTGAGCTCGGTCACCTCAGGTGGGAAGTCACTGAACTGGCAGAAACACTTTGGACAGGAACACAAGAACTCATAGTAAATGGACGTAATATTAAAACTAAGATGGAGAGGGAAAACACACAGCAGGTGTAGCTTTAGTGATATCCAGTTTGACCCAAAAATGCACACTTGGGTACAGACCTGTAAATGAACAAATTTTATCAGTCAGATTTCAGACAATGATACAGTCACTATCATACAGGTATACCCGCACACAGTGGAAGCAGAAGAGGAAGACATCAACAGTTTCTACACAGATCTACAAATCGAGGTTATCAGGACATATAAGAATAAGAATGAAATACTAATCATTATGGGTGACTTCAATGCAAGAGTGGGATCTAGAGAAAGAATGGATTATTGTGTCATGGAAACATATGGATTGGGACAATGGAACGTTAGAGGGGAACAACTGCTTGACCTCTGCTATGCAAATGATTTGTCCATAGCCAACACAAAATTCAAGCAGGCCAAACCATCAAGATTCTGGACATGGGAATCTCCTGACAAATGCACATACAGCCAAATTGACTACATTTGGTTTCCTGGTCATCAGGAAACTCATATCTAGTATCCAAAACAGCTGATCATTTCCTAGTGCTGACTTAAGGTCAGATCATCAACTTGTTATAGCCAACATTCAACTCAGGAGAGGCATGCCAGGCAAGACAGAGATAGACAGTAAACAACTGATGAACCCTGCTATACAGAGAGAGTATAAAAGAACCACTGAGAAAAAGATGAGGGAAATCACTAAACAACCCTTTACAGATATAGAAAGCAAATGGGAGAAAATCAAAAGAGCTATACGGGAGGCTTCAAAGGAGACTTTTGTTATGAGAAAAGGACACCACCAGTAGAATGGCTTTCTGCAAAGATGATCAATCTGGCAGAAGAAAGAAGGAAGCTAAAAAGCAAACAGAGAGGCAAACCACAGGCAGCAAAACACCACAACTATGCAGGGAGATCAAAAGAAGAGCAAAGAAGGATAAAGAGCTGTATATACAAAGTCTATGCAAAGAGGTCAAAGAGGCTAGACTCTATAATAAAACACATCTTGTTTACAAAGTTATCAGATGAATAGCTGCCAGATATGCTCCTCAGACTTTATGATTAAAGATCTGCAAGGTCATTTATTAACAGAACCAGGGAAAGTAAAGCAAAGATGGAGACAATACTTTGACAACCTATACAATGGATCTAATGCTGCCAACATAGACTACAATGAGAAACACATCAGCAGCCACTCCAACACCAGAGATGATGAAAATATTAAATATTGACAGGAGCAAGATAGAGGAAGCTATCAAGAGAGCGAAATTCAGGAAAGTCTCAGGAATGGATGGCATCACAGTGGAGGAGCTGGAGGCAGCTACAATAGACTCAAGAGCTAGGCTGGGGTGCTTCTCAGAACTCTTCAGGGAGATATGGGAACATGAACCAATTCCTATGGAATGGAAGCACTCAGTCATAATTCCCACACACAAGAAGGACAAGCTGAGTGCTCAAATTACAGGGGCATTAGTTTGTTGTGCCATAGCAGCAAGATCTTCTCCTCCATTATCCTGCAAAGGATCAAGGGCAGAACAGAGAAAATCCTAGCAGAGGCGCAGTGCGGATTTAGAACTAACAGGAGCACAATTGATCAGATCTTCCCTTTAAGGCAACTGGCAGAAAAATACGAAGAATCTGGGAAAGACATATGCCTGTTACATTGACTTTAGGAAGGCATTTGATAGCATTTGGGAGAAAGGACTTTGGGAAACAATGAGGTACTACAGATAACCAGAGAAAAATCATAAGAATCCTAGAGAATGCCTATAAACATATTTTTTGCATTGGTCAAATCTGTGGAGAACTAAGCAATCAGTTTAGGCCAATCATAGGAGTGTTGCAGGGATGCATCCTCTCACCACTCCTCTATAATATATTCCTGGAATTAATAATAGCAACAACCCTGGAGGATGAGGAGATAGGCATGCAGGCAGTTGGGCGAATCAATGACTTGCATTCCACTGATGATACCGCACTACTTGCTGAAAGTCCACATGAGCTACAGGCCACGGTAAATAGAGTGGTGGAAGTAAATGAAAAACCTTGGTATGAAAGTAAACATCGAGAAGACTGAGAAACAACACATGTGAAGGGCATACAGGATTTTAACAATGTAATAAAGAATCATAACCTCAGTCAACTTTTGTCTATCTGGGAGGAAACCTCAATTCGAAGGAGGGACTTATTCCGGACATCAAGAGGGATGTGAGGGCTGCATTCCAGGCACTAGGAAAAGTTTAGTCAGCAGCAAGAGACATAAGGACAACAACAAAATTACAATTCTATGAGGTGCTAGTCTTGAGCTGCCTTCTTTACCACTCTGAAACCAGGGCGACGAAACGCTCCTCAGAACAGCAGCTGAATGTGTTTGAGATGGCGTGTCTCAGGAGGGTTCTAGGTGTCACAAGAAGAAAGGCTGCACAATGATAGCATTAAGACACATCTCCATCTACAGAAGGAAGTAAACTACAGGATACAGACACGGCGCGTGAGATACTTTGGCCGTGTTATGAGAATAAATGATGGCAGAGACCTGCTTGGAGGTGTGCACAGGATAAGGCAAAGAGGAAGGCCTCCCCCACCCCCGCCAAAAAAAAAAAAAACACCTCTGGATAGACAGCATAAAGGAATGCTGTGGAACCTTAAGTATGACAATAATACAAGCAGCTAGGACTGCCCAGGCTAGGAATAACTGTAGCACCACCATAAATGAGCTGCCCGTGCATGCTTAAGCATTGCAAAGGCATGGATGATGATGACGACGACATAGGAGAAAGAAAGATGCTCTCGGTCACAAGGGTATGGGAAATAACAAATTTCATGAGAAGAGGAGATATACAAGAGAGGAAGGAATCCATGGTGTCCAACATAATAAACCAGAAAACCTCAACAATAATGGAGGCGAAAGAAAGAGCAAAACATCTGACAACAGGCCAGTAAAACGCTTGTCTCTTAAGTATGAAGCCCTCGGTTCAGTCCCCAAAACCCACATAGATAATAGAGCCAGGCAGAAGCTGGGAAGATGGCTCAGCAATTAAGATCACCCACATGAGGAGGCTCACAATCACCTGTAATTCCAGCTCTAGGGAATCTTATTCCATCTACTGGCCTCTACCAGCACTACACTCATGTGCACATACCCACACACAAACACACAAAATTAAAAATGAAATCTTTAAAACATAAAAGCCAAGTGTAACAATACATGCTTATGATAGCTGCGCTGGGAAGGGAAGACATGTGGGTACCTAGGACTTATATATCAGATGACCTAATCTACTTTGCAAGTTTCTGGCTCTGGAGGGTTGTTGTATACAAAAATATGTGGATATGTGCACGCACACACACAAACTTAGTAAGGGTTGTAGAGATAGCTCAGTGATTAAAATGCTTACAATGCTAGAATGAAGACCTGAGTCCAGCTCCCTAACACCCACATAAAATATCAGATGGACATCAAAGCCCACTTGTAATTCCAGTCTAAGAATGCAGACAAGGGATCTCCAGAACATGTTGTCTAGGGAGATTCATCATATTGATGAGCTCTGAGTTTGATTGAGAGCCCCTGACTCAGTGAATAAAGTGGTAGAGAAATCAAAGTTGATCTATGACATCAACCGCAGGCCTCCACATGCACACGTGCACACAGATGTGCCTATACATAGGCAAACACACATACACTTACATATGCATGCCACACACATGCACCTGAAAATAAAAAATAATAATAGCATTTTCCTTGAATAAAATAACAAATATTTTAATATTGCATTAGTGTTACTTTCTGATTAAACCAATGATCAAGTTCAAACACATGCATGTTACACACAGGAATACAAAGTTTAAAATCCCCATTTTAGGAAATACTCAGACTTTTTGCTCTGTAAATCTCCCTCCCCCATGACTTCCCCAGATGAATTTATAGGTTGACCTAGAAATGTATTTCAGACTGGGCAGATGATGGTCAAGGGAAACTTTCAGATTCAAAATGTGGTTAAACATGTTGTGTGAACAACATCTCTGCCTTGAAGCCCAAGGTTAGTGGTGAGGGAAAAGCTGTGAATCTTTCTGTTTAAAAAATGTGTGAAAGTCCCATGATGAGTGGTGTTGGGGCTCACCCACCACATCCTGTGCATCTCCCTCAGCCACTGGACTCAGTCCACACACAGGTCAGCATTGGTCTTGCCAGTGTAATGCCGCGGATACTTGCTGCCCTGCTCGGCCTGGGTGAGTCCTTCAGGAAAGGGGGATGGAACCAGAGCAGGAATCAGGGAGACATTGTATCATTATTGTTGTTTTTTAGGGCTATGTCTGAGCCAGAGGATCAACACAGAGAAACGTAAGTGCTTCCTTGAGAACCTCAGGATTGGTCTCATGCTTTCATTTCAAGGGTCCATCTGAGAGCATCCAGAGACAGGCGAGCATTCTGCCTCACTCTGATGGCCACAATCTGGTGGCTGCGGGAAAGTGGGGAAGATAGGTAATGGCTCATCTGGGACTCATGCCCCTGGTTCCTTTTCAGAGAGTCTCCAGAAACCTATCATCTGGGCCGAACCCAGTAACAGGGTCACAAATGGAAATGCTGTGACCATCTGGTGCAAGGGACATCACACTGCTACCCATTATCAACTGTACTTTGAAGGAAGCTTTTCAGCCTTGGAGAGACCTAAACCAAGTAGAGCAACGAATAAAGTCAACTTCACCATTCCACAAATGACCTCACATACCGCAGGGAAATAAACCTGCTGCTATCAGAGTGGGGAGCGTCAATCAAAGAGCAGCAAGGGCCTGAATCTAATAGTTACTGGTGAGTGTCTTGTTATTAGATGTAGAGTCAGCTTGGTATGAATCATGGAGAGTGCCAGTGTTCATAAATACTGGAAACTCTTTTATTTTCCCTTGCCACTCTTTTTTATTAACTTTTTTATTTTTAAAAAAATAAAACAAACTGTATTTTTTTCATTTTACATGCCAATCCCAGTTCCCACTCCCTCCCATCCTCCAATTTCCTCTACCTATCTGCCACCACACCCCCCATCCACTCTTCAGAGAGGGTAAGGCACATTGTTTGGAAGAGGTCCAAGGCCCCCCTACCATATTTAGGTTGAGCAACACCTACATCCAAAGAAAATAGGTTCCCAAAAAGCCAGTACAAGCAGTATGGATAAATACTGGTGCCACTGCCAGTAGCCCCTCAGTCTGCCCCAGCCATGCAACTGTCAACCACAAAGGGACTAGTTTGGTACTATGCTGTTTCCTTCCCTGTATGGCTAGAGTTGGTGAGCTCCCATTAGCTCAGGTAAACTGTTTCAGTGGACACCTCTATTATGATCTTGACTTCTTTGCTCATATTCTCACACTTCCCACTCTTCAACTGAACGTTGGGAGCTCAGTCAGGTCTCTGCCTCTGTATCCATCAGTTGCTGGATAAAAGTCCTATGGTGATATTTAAGATATTCATCAGTCTGACTACAGGGCAAGGCCAGTTTCGGGCATCCACTCCTCTATTGCTTAGAGTCTTAGCTGGGGTCATCCTTGAGGATTCCTGGGTATTTCTCTAGTGCCAGGTTTTTTGCTAGCCCCATAATGGCTCCCTTAATCAAGATACCTCTTTCCTTGCTTTTGTCTCTGTCCTTCCTCCATCTTGACCATCCCATTCCCTCAAGTTCCTCTCCTCCCTCCCCTTCTCCTGTCATCTTCCCCTTCCATCCTCCCTACTCCCCGCAACCCCCAATTTTATCAGGTAATCTTGCCTGTTTCCCCTTCCCAGGCAAATCTGTATATGTTTCTCTTAGGGTTCACCATGTTAGTTACCTTCCCTAAGCTCAATAACCTTTACAGCTAGTATCCACTTATGAGTGAGAACATACCGTGTTCAACTTTCTGGGTCATGCGTGGTTACCTCACGCATGATTTTTTTTCTAGTTCCATCTATTTGCATGCAAATTTCAAGATGTCATTGTTTTGTACTGCTGAATAGTACTCTGACGTGTAAATGTGCCACATTTTCTTTATCCATTCTTTGGTTGAGTGGCATATAGGTTGTTTCCAGATTCTAGATATTACAAAAAATGCTGCTCTGAACATATTTGAACAAGTGTCCTTGTAGTATGATTGAGCATCTTTTGGGTACATGCCCACAAGTGCTATTGCTGGGTCTTGAGGTAGGCTGATTTCCAATTTTTTGAGAAACCACCATACTGATTTCCAGAGTGGTTGTACAAGTTTGCATTCCCACCAGCAATAGAGGAGTATTCCCCTTTCTCCACATTCTCTACAGTATAAGCTATCATTGATGTTTTTGATCTTAGCCATTCTCACTGGTGTAAGATTAAGGTGATATCTCAGAGTTGTTTTGATTTGCATTTTCATGATGGCTAAGGATGTTGAACATTTCCTTAAGTGTCTTTCGGCCATTTGAGATTCTTCTGTTGAGAATTCTCTGTTTAGTTCAGTACCCCACTTTTTAATTGAATTATTTAGAATTTTTATGTCTAATTTCTTAAATTCTTTATATATTTGCTAGACCAATCCTCTGTCTGATGTGGGGTTGGTGAAGATCTTTTCCCACTCAGCAGGCTGCCTTTTTGTCTTATTGACTGTGTCCTTTGTTTTACAGAAGCTTTTCAGTTTCAGGAGGTTCCATTTATTTATAGTTGCTCTCAGTGTCTGCACTACTGGGGTTGTATATAGGAAGTGGTCTCCTGTGCCCATGCATTGAAGACTACTTCCCATTTCCTCTTCTATCAGGTTCAGTGTGATAGGATTTATATTGAGGTCATTAATCCATTTGGACTTGAGTTTTGTGCATGGCGACAGATCTATTTTCATTCTTCTACAGGTTGACATCCAGTTATGCCAGCACCATTTGTTGAAGATGCTTTCTATTTTTCATTGTATAATTTTAGCTTCTTTGTCAAAAATCAGGTATTCATGGGTGTGTGGATTAATATCTGAGGTTTGATTTTATTCCACTGGTCATCCCCTCTTCTTTTATGCCAATACCAAGCTGTTTTCATTACTGTAGATCTATAATAGAATTTGATGTCAGGGATGGTGATGCCTTCAAAAGCTCTTTTATTGTACAGGATTGTTTAGGCTATCCTGGGTTTTTTTGTTTTTCCATGCATTGAATCTATAGAATACTTTTGGTAGGACTGCCATTTTTATTATGTTGACCTACCTATCCAAGAGCATAGGAGATCTTTCCATTTTCTGGTATCTCCTTAAATTTCTCTTTTTAAAGACTTAAAGTTATTGTCAACAGGTCTTTCACACCTTTGGTTAGTATTACCCAAAGATATTTTATGTTATTTGTGGCTATTGTGAAGGGTGATGTTCCTTTTTATATTTGTTTTTTCCCATTCAAAAATTTACACTTCTTCCCCTCCTCCCATTCCCATCCCACTCTCCCATTCACCCTCCTACCTCACCTCCCTCCTTGAGAGAGGGCAGGGAACCCTGCCCTCTGGAAAGTCCAAGGCCCTCCCCCCTACATCCAGGCCTAGGAAGCTTTGCATCCAAATAGACTAGGGTCCCAAAAAGCCAGTACATGCAGTAAAAACAAGTCCCAGTGCCTTTACCAATGGCTTCTCTGTCAGGCCCATTGTCAGCCACATTCAGAGAGTCCGGTTTGATCACATATTCGTTCAGTACCAGTCCAACTGGGTTTGGTGAGCTGCCATTAAAACAAGCACACTGTCTCAGTGGGTGGACCAACCCCTCGCAGTCCTGACTTCCTTGCTCATCTTCTCCCTCCTTCTGCCCTTCAGCTGGACCTTGGGAGCTCAGTCCCTTGCACTGATGAGGGTCTCTGTCTCTATCTCCATCCAACGCCAACAAAGATTCTATGGTGATATTCAAGATAATCATCAGTGTGATAGTGGGGCAAGGCCAGTTCAAAACCCTCTGCTCTGCTGCCCAAGGACCTAACTAGGGACATCCCCGTGGATGCCTGGGATCCCCTCTAGAGCCAAGTCTCTTGCCAATCCTAAAATGGCTCCCTTAATGTAGATATCTTCTTCCCTGCTCCTATAACTGCCCTACCTCCATATCCACCCTCCCACTCCCCCAAGCTCTCTCCAATCTTTCCTTTTTCCCTTCTCTCTCCCCATCTCCCCTTTCCCCAGCCCAACCCCCACCCATACACCCACCAACATTTGCCCAGCAATCTTGTTTGCTTCAAATTTGTCCTTTAATTATAGAAACCACTTATGAGTGAGTACATCCCATGTTCCTCTTTTTGAGTCTGGCTTACCTCACTCAGGATAGTGTTTTCTATTTCTGTCCATTTGCATGAAAATTCAAGAAGTCATTGATTTTTATTGCTGAGTAGTACTCTAATATGTATATATTCCATACTTTCTTCATCCATTCTTCCATTGAAGGGCATCTAGGTTGTTTCCAGGTTCTGGCTATAACAAACAATGCTGCTATGAACATAGTTGAGCATATACTTTTGTTGTATGATAGGGCATCTCTTGGATATATTCCCAAGAGTGGTATTGCTGGGTCCAGGGGTAGGTTGATCCCGAATTTCCTGAGAAACTACCACACTGATTTCCAAAGTGGTTGCACAAGTTTGCATTCCCACCACCAATGGATGAATGTACCCCTTTCTCCACAACCTCTCCAGCAAAAGCTATCATTGGTGTTTTTGATTTTAGCCATTCTGACAGGTGTAAGATGGTATCTTAAAGTTGTCTTGATTTGCATTTCCCTGTTCGCTAAGGAAGTTGAGCATGACCTTAAGTGTCTTTTGGCCATTTGAACTTCTTCTGTTGAGAATTCTCTGTTCAGTTCAGTG